CCAATGTTTCATAAAATTATATCCTTTTAACAAGTAGGAAAGAAATTTTGAACGGTGAAACTTGCCAACTGGCGGTCACCTTGAAAGCAACACAAAAACTCAGGTACCTTTCTATAAGTTCCACTAAATGGTAAAATTTGGTTGTGCCGCAGAATCAAGTAGAAACCTTACAAAAGTGGTTTTCAAAACGTAAAAGGCCAACTCACCATTCCACACTACAGAATTACTCGTTTACAGGTTCTACTTGTTGACAATAAATTTCACTCTGTATTTCCTTTACCATTTCTTCCTTATTGGCTTAAACCGAATAAGAAAAACAATTCAACAAGTACAACATTAGTCCGGTGCCAAAAGCCTTTTTGTATTGTCCTATACGATATCTGTACATATGTAAGCGATTACATTAAAGCTTTATTCACAACAGAATTTTCCTGTTTTAAGTCTGTTAGAATTAGTAGTTATTTACGATGGCATCTGATTACGTCGCGAACGCTTAAATTCTCAAAGCGTCCAGCCTCCAGGAAAATCGTCACAACACCCACATTATCACTCAGTAGATGGATTCTAGACATCTACGAATAAGAGGCTTTGAAAGGCTGCTAGTAAGTTTCAATAAATATAGATCACCAGGGAGAATTCTTGATTTATCTGCGATAATTTAAGCACCACAATCTTCTGGAGATCAAATACAGAAATTAATCTTCTGTTCCTCAAAGAACGGATAAACATCTTCGAATCCTCTAGAATATAATCTTTCTAAAATTAATAAAACTAGTGCCGTGCATTCTGCGTTCCCCCACCCAAAAACAATAGCTTCTGAAGAAGATTCCTATCGAGTATTCAAATAATGAAAACAATTCAAGCAATCAACAACTGTGGAGAAAATAAATAGTTCCAGCAGTTTATACGAGCAGCGCACGACTGCGTGACCAAGGCGCCGTCCATTTTCGAAGGCACCGTAAGAGCCCAAAATATATTTCTAGTGTGCCGTCTATCAAGTAGGCTCCCGTTTTGCAGCTGCAGTTTTAGAAATCTGAAAAGTCAAAAAATATACATAACTCCTTACCCATGAATTCGCTGTTGCCTCATTAAAAAATCTTGGATAAAGCACGCTTCTTTTTCTGAACTCACTCACCATTAGTTTTTGATTCCCTATTTCAACACTAAAATTTGAAAAGAATCAATACTCGTGCACAACCCTCCTCAAAAACAGCATACATACCAAACGCACATGCCTCAAAACCAAAAAACCAAAAAAAAAAAAAAAACCAAAGATAAGCAAACCTATGGAAAAAAATATTTCAAATTGGACATTGCAAACTGCATCAACATCAAGATGCCTCCACAAATTACAAGATTAATTCAAAATCCCTACCCCCTCTAATTTTTCTCGGATGCCAACCCAACGTATCAGAGGAAAACAAAAATTTGAAGAAATCGCATAAGAGCCACAAACGACAGCTTCCCTGTTTCAATTAACTGAAGAAAGTCCTGTCTCATATCCGGCACCACGAGCGCAACTCAGTTTCGAATACTTAAAGGAGCTTGATAAGAACTGAGAAGCCACTCCGCTCAATTCAGAAGCACCCTGCTTCAAATTTTTTCTAAAATATCCATCATTTTACAGGGTCAATCGCCCTCCAAGTTTAGCAGAAATGTGTGACAAAGCGAATATTGCAAGGTTATTTGACCGCAACTTTACTCACTGACAAAATATTAATCTTTAAATATGGCTTACACCATTAAAAATAGGGACACTTAACATATCAGAAATTGAA